GATTTGATGCGCGAAGTGTGTTGGAGCACGCGAGAGTGCTCGGCTTGAGAGTGTTCGGCCGAAGCGTGCCCGGCCTCGGAGTCGGATCATGCGATTTGATACGCGAAGTGTATTTGATCCGCGAGAGTGCTCGTCTTGAGAGTGTTCGGCCGAAGCGTGCTCGGCCTCGGAGTCGGATCATGCGATTTGATACGCGAAGTGTATTTGATCCGCGAGAGTGCTCGTCTTGAGAGTGTTCGGCCGAAGCGTTCTCGGCCTCGGAGTCGGATCATGCTATTTGATACGCGAAGTGTATTTGATCCGCGAGAGTGCTCGGCTCGAGCGTGTTCGGCCGAAGCGTGGTCGGCCCCAGAATGTTGGGTCACGTGATTTTATGCGCGAAGTGTGTCTAGCCGACTTCTTGAACTGGCTGTCATTATTGACTTTGACATTGTCCTTGTGACCTTGTTCTGGCTTCATTGGTCCCTTTCCACGAACTTGATCACGAAATGCGGAGTGTTCCTCCATCTGGATGTAGCCCGCAGCTCGGGCGCGGAGCTCGTCCATGTCGCGCGGAGCCTCACGACATAGGTGGTCGACGAATGGCCCGGGCTTGAGTGCCATGAGCATGGCATGCAGGGCGACCTCGGGATTCAAATTTCTGATCTTGACCGAGGTGGTGGAAAATCGCTCCATGAATGCCCGTAGTGGCTCGTCGTCGTTCTGTCTAAGACTGGCCAGGGCGACTGAAGTGATGTGGTGAGGCCGGCTCGTTGCATACTGCGCCGTGAATCGCCTGACCAAAGTGCTGAAGCTGTCGATTGACTCAGCGGGAAGCTGGGTGTACTAGTTGAGCGCGGCCCCCTTCAGTGAGAACGGAAAAACCCTATACAAAATAGCATCATTGTTAGTGTAGAGGTTTACCTGTGTCGTATACAGGTCGATATGCTCATCGGGGTCCGTCGTGCCATCATAGCGATCGAGGTGGAGAGGCTTCCACCCCTGAGGAAGTGGTGTCTCCATGATGCAATCCACAAAGGGATGACGGCTGAAGGTTGCTTGACCCCCCGTGACATGAGTTGGGGCCTTGCTGACTTCATGGGCCGACTTGTTCGTCAAAACACGAGACCGATGCGTGGCAGGTCGTGGAGTCGGTGCCCTAGTCGCAGTTCGGGGCTGAGAGACCGAGTGCCCGTCTTCCTCGTGGAGGTTGCTCGCCTCAGGAGGATGATCAGAGGGGCGTCGAGGGAGCTGGACGCGAATCCGCTCGTTTTCAGCGCGTAGCACCGCTAGGTCAACTTCATTGGAGGTCTGCATCGCCGCTAGGTTGGTTTCGTGCTGGGCACGCATGTTTCGCAGATCGACGTCGTGTTGCTGCCGCATCTGTTCGACCTGGTCAATCAGTCTCCTTAATGTGGCTTCGTTGTCCATGGTAGTTGAGTGATCTGCGTCGTCTATTGTGCGTCTACTATGGCTTCTGGTGAATACCATAAGCGTGGCCAATAAAAGCTGTCTTGATCGGCCCCACGGTGGGCGCCAAATGTTCTTACCGGGAATCTAAGGTAGGGATGATCCGCTGGGTAAGATCGGTGAGCCTCCTTCACGGGTACGTTGATGCTCCAAGATGGGGGTGGTACCTACAAAAGAGACTCCGATGTCAAAGTTAATGTTTGTGGGTGTATGGGTCTCGTATAAGTAATGCACGTACTTTTGTGTGTATTAGGGTTTTGTTGGGCCTTGGGCCCGAGATCAGTTTATGATCTAATTGGATAGCGAACCGATGTCGCCTAGCGCGTGTCCGAGGTCACTTCGTGCTGTGATGCCGAGCTCGAGCTCGGCATAGCGGTACGGATAGTACACTAGCCCCCCGAGCTCCGAAGACCGTAGGTCGAGAAGTTAAGACCGAGCTCGACAAGGGGTCGTGACTTTTTGCGTACGCCTATTTGTCATGACGCCATGTGTCATAACCGTCACCTCGTTCCCATAACGCATGGGCGGCGCGATGACAAGATTGTATTTTTATTTGTTTGATGACGTGGCCTCTTTAGGCCGATGTGGTGTTCCGATGTCCATGTTTCATGGTCCGGCTGAGGAGCTCGGCAATAATGAGCTTACTGCTTGGTTAGGCTGGTAAACCTTTGACCGAGTCAGCAGATTGGTGAGAAACAAGTCGGCAACTCGGCTGACCAATACACTCATCAACTTTTTTATATTAAATATAAACTATTGTTAAAAAAAATTTCAACGAAAGACATTTTAAAGATTTTTTTTAACTTTTTATTGAATTTGATTTTAATATATAATAATTATTTATGAATCAAATTTTAATATTTTTAAAATAAATTATTAATAAATATTAACATTATATTATAATATAAATTATTTATCATAAATTTAAAATATATTTAAAATTATCTATTTATACAAATTTTAAATATAATTGATATATTTAAACATAATATTTATTTATATATAAATTTCATTAAATCTGTTATATATAATATATATTTATAATATGCAGACTAAAATACTAGTTTATTTTTATTAAAGTATCCGAACAATTTATACTATTTAATAAAAAGAATTATTTTATTTGATATACATATTTTTTGGACAATTTTTTTCCTATCTATAACTACTTCTCAAATTACTTTTTCTCTCTCCACGATTTTTTAAAACTACCCTTACAATTATAATTATTCAAAAACTAAAATTCTAATTATTAATTGTTCATTTTTAATTAATTTATTTTTTTTATTAATTACCCGGAGACACTAAATATCTTTTTTACATTTTTAAATAAATATTTTTAGTTTCTAATTTTACTATACCATTTCCTCCCTTATATTTTTTTTACAACTTCCTAAAATTACTTTTTTTTTTTATAAGTAACTTCTCATTCTTTTTTTTTAATTAAAATAATTACACATAAAAATTATAAAAATAATTTTTTTCTTTTACTATAGTACAAACATAAAGTGTCTTTTTTCTTATAGTCTCTCGTTAAAAAAGAATACCAAAAATCTACTAAAATCAAATTCAGTAAAAAAAAATTATAATAATGCACGCATTTTCCTCGACTAGCTATTACCCATTAATAATACACGTTTAACATAATTAACAAGAATTAGACTTGCATCATTCCTTACGTATTTTAAATATGAAGTTGCTAGAAACCAAGTATTCATGGAATCCATTATTGTATTGCCTTGGGAACTTCCTTGACTTCCCCACTTCTTCTTTTCCACGTTCCTTCCTTCCTATAAATACACATCAAGTCCACGCCAATTCTCACTGCTCCCAAAAGCTCAAAATCACACAAAAACAATTCAACCAAACAACACTTTGAGTTGCCCTCCAAATTCAAAGCAAAAAAAAGAAGAAAAAAATGCAGAACGTGGAACAAGAGAAAGAGTATTTAGATTCGTTGACGTGTCCAAGCTTCAACTGCTACTTCACCGATCCACTCGCCGGTATTGCCAATCAAGTCGGAACACAAGACCGCGTCAGGGCGCAAAACGACGACGCGTTTTACGCATCGCTAAACGACGACCCCGATTTCGAGTTCGCCGCGTTTCGAAACGAACCCTTCTCCGACGACTACGACGACGCCGTTTTCCCTCTTTTCAACAGCAGCGACCTCGTGAGCGCCGCCGCCGCGGGACGCGGTTCAAGCGCGGCGGTGCTGCGGTTCCCTATCACCGGCGGCGAGCTCCGGCGGAGCGAGGCCGAGGCCGATCCGGCGGCGTCGGAGTCGTCGTCGGACGCGGAGGAATTGGAGGGGGTTCCGGCGGGGACGTACTGCGTGTGGACGCCAAATTCGCCGCGGGCTTCGCCGGGAAAGTGCGAGAAGAGCAATTCGACGGGATCGTCGTCGGCGAAGAAGTGGAAGCTTCTGGATTTGCTTCGGCGGAGCAACAGCGAGGGGAAGGAGTCGTTGGCGTTTCTAGCGGCGGCGCCGGAGAAGAAGAAGATGAACGAGCGGTGGAGCATTGAGATCGCCGGAAAAGCGAAGGGGAAGGGTTTCGCCGGCGAGAAGAAGGTGGCGGTGTCGGCGCACGAGGCTTTGTATGTTAGGAACAGAGAGTTGAGAAAAATCGATAAGAAAAAGTCGTTTCTTCCGTACAAGCCTGAGTTACTTGGATTTTGCACGCGTCGTTTGGCCAAGGCATTCCCTTCATTCTGAGGACTTTGCTAAAGCCACTTTTTTTTTTTATTTAAAAAAAAAACAGAAGAAAATGGAATTGGATATGTTACATTAGATTAATTGGTTTTTCTTTGGTTCTTTTCGGTGTTTTCTCTTTGGGTTCAATCTGTATTGGACATAGTAATGTGTAATTAGCATATTGGAGAAGGGTGAAATGATTGGTAATGGTATACAAATGCTCACCCAATTTTGGATCCAAATTTAAACCAATCACTCACTGAAAATATTTATTTGTCTCATGAAAAAAAAAAAAATTGGTTGGTAGAGAAGTTATCATTGAAACAAGAAACAAAAATGAAGCTGAAGGAATCGTCAGCTTTGGAATGAAAGGAATCATTGACGATGGAGTCACTATTAGCACGAAACCTGTTGGACAAACCATTATAGAAGGATCACAACATATTTTATTGGAAGCTCAAATGCCTAGTTCTTTTATCCAGATCAAGCAATAGATACCGGTTTAATGTGGACTTCTTGGCTAAACCTTACATGCAATGAACCTTTGTATACCTTTTATACCGTATGGTGGTTGACTAGGCCGAATACCCGAGTTCGTGGCCGACTAGGCCGAATACTCGAGTTCATGGCCGACAAGGCCGAATACCTGAGTTCATGGCCGACTAGGCCGAATACCTGAGTTCGTGGCCGACTAGGCCGAATACCCGAGTTCGTGGACGACCAGGTCGAATACCCGAGCCCACCGACCACTCACAATCTGAACGGAACGTGTCGGTGTGCTCGGCCAAGTCACGGATTTACGCCAGGATAATTATGAAGAGGTTAATTTATGTAATGCACCGGATTAGCCCCCTAATTTCTCGGGGCCCAGTCCTTAATCGCGGCCCAATAAGAATCGCTATAAATAGGATCCTAGCGAGGTACGTAACTAACTTTCAACTACCACATTTATTACGCCGAACACTTACTTGAGCGTTGGAGTGTCTTTGCAGGCACATTTATTTCAACTACCACATGAGAAAGGCGAATGCCAAGCCCTCAAATGCTCGTCCCACGAGAGGACCACGTTATACAATGTATACAAGACATTTTTAAATATTTGTCATGTCGTTCCTTATTTTACTATATATATACGTTTAGGTCGCGCTCATGCAGGTCCAATCTCGAATAGCGCACACGTCGACGCCGAGCAATCCTCGGCTGATCACTCAAAAACTGCGCTCGAGCCCGACAGGTTTCCCTCCTGAGTACCCTCCTCGGCTAAGGATGTACCTAGGCCGAGCATTACGCACATACACCGACGCCAAGCAATCCTCGGTCGATCACTCAAAAAGTGCGCTTGAGCCTGACAGGTTTCCCTTTCGAGTACCCTCCTCGGCTAAGGATGTACCTAGGCCGAGCACTAAGCACGAACATGCGCTGACGCCGAGCAATCCTCGGCCGATCACTCAAAACATACATTCGAGCCCGACAGGTTTCCCTCCCGAGTACCCTCCTCGGCTAAGGATGTACCTAGGCCGAGCACTAAGCACGAACATGCGCTGACGCCGAGCAATCCTCGGCCGATCACTCAAAACATACATTCGAGCCCGACAGGTTTCCCTCCCGAGTACCCTCCTCGGCTAATGATGTACCTAGGTCGAGCACTACGACACGCGCCGAGGCCGAGCATGCTTCGGCAGAACACTCTCAAGACGAGCACTCTCGCGTGCTCCAACACACTTCGCGCATCAAATCCCATGATCCGACTCCGAGGCCGAGAATGCTTCGGCCGAACACGCTCAAGCCGAGCACTCTCGTGAATCAAATACATCGCGTATCAAATCGCATGATCCGACTCCGAGGCCGAGCACGCTTCGGCCGAACACTCTCAAGACGAGTACTCTCGCGGATCAAATACACTTCGCGTATCAAATCGCATGATCCGACTCCGAGGCCGAGCACGCTTCGGCCGAACACTCTCAAGACGAGCACTCTCACGATTAATACACTTCGCGTATCAAATCGCATGATCCGACTCTGAGGCCGAGCACGCTTCGGCCGAACACGCTCGAGCCGAGCACTCTCGCGGATCACATACACTTCGCGTATCAAATCGCATGATCCGACTCCGAGGCCGAGCACGCTTCGGCCGAACACGCTCGAGCCGAGCACTCTCGCGGATCAAATACACTTCGCGTATCAAATAGCATGATCCGACTCCGAGGCCGAGAACGCTTCGGCCGAACACTCTCAAGACGAGCACTCTCGCGGATCAAATACACTTCGCGTATCAAATCGCATGATCCGACTCCGAGGCCGGGCACGCTTCGGCCGAACACTCTCAAGCCGAGCACTCTCGCGTGCTCCAACACACTTCGCGCATCAAATCACGTGACCCAACATTCTAGGGTCGACCACGCTTCGGCCGAACACGCTCGAGCCGAGCACTCTCGCGGATCAAATACACTTCGCGTATCAAATCGCATGATCCGACTCCGAGGCCGAGCACGCTTCGGCCGAACACTCTCAAGACGAGCACTCTCGCGTGCTCCAACACACTTCGCGCATCAAATCGCGTGACCCAACATTCCGGGGCCGACCACGCTTAGGCCGAACATGCTCAAGCCGAGCACTATCACGGATTAAATACACCGCGTATCAAATCGCGTGATCCGACTCCGAGGCCGAGCACGCTTCGGCCGAACACTCTCAAGACGAGCACTCTCGCAGATCAAATACACTTTCGCGTATCAAATCGCATGATCTGACTCCGAGGCCGAGCACACTTCGGCCGAACACTCTCAAGCCGAGCACTCGCATGTACTCTAGCATTTCGAGGCCGAGCACGCCTAGGCAGAGCACTCCTGAGCCGAACTCACACCAAGCATTAATCCGCGACAAAACATGAATTTAACCCCCCTTCGACCGAGCATACCATTCGGTTGTGTTTATATTACTAGGCGTTAATGAATATGACAAAAATTGGAAAGTAAAATATTCCATTAAAGTATGGCCAATCAGTACGACTACTTACTCAAAAAATCATCTATGTCCACGACGCCAATGGCCGATCACAAAAGGCACTATTGGCCTGATTACAAGCAAGCAAAAAATCCTAACCCTAACCTACTACCACGAGAGTCAACCTCTTACACCGCGACCGAGTCCTCCGGATTCCCATCGCCGACCACATCAATGATCGGCTCCTCCTCCCTTGCCAGTGGGGCCTCTTCCACCGTAGAAACCCCGACTAACATCAAAATTGAAGTCAGCCGGGACCTCACAAAAGTAGAAGGCCTGTCGCATAGCATGTTGGAAGCCGGCATCGTGCTGGTCGAGAATTTTCTCGGTGGCCTCGGCTTCGAACTTGGTAGCAGCCTCATTTAGCCGAGCAATCTCGGCAGCTGCAGCGGTGGCCTCGACTTTCATTTTCTGGACCGTCAACTTCAAGTCGTCGACCTCTCTCCTATGGGCGTCGGCTGCCCTCTTCAGTTCTTCGGCCGACTCGGTGACCTTTGCATTGGCGGTCAATGCCTCCTTCAACGTCACCTCAGCCTCCTTAAGCCGCCCCTGCAACCTCTCCTCGGAGACAACCGACCTCATCATAACATGCTTAGCAATTAGGGAGAACGTTTGGCACAAGGAAATTCGAACCGGCCACGACCACCGAGGTTAGCAAAACCGACTACACTAGGAACATGCACACTACTACTAGCGGTCGGAAGCAACATCTGCCACTCCACGCCGAGAACCACAACCCTATACAATTAAAACGTCTTCGTCTTTCCCATCCTCGACGCTGCGGGGGTTGTATACCGTATGGTGGTTGACTAGGCTGAATACCCGAGTTCGTGGCCGACTAGGCCGAATACCCGAGTTCATGGCCGACTAGGCCGAATACCTGAGTTCGTGGCTGACTAGGCTGAATACCCGAGTTCGTGGACGACCAGGTCGAATACCCGAGCCCACCGACCACTCACAATTTGAACGGAACGTGTCGGTGTGCTCGACCAAGTCATGGATTTACGCCAGGATAATTATGGAGAGGTTAATTTATGTAATGCACCAGATTAGCCCCCTAATTTCCCGGGGCCCAGTCCTTAATCGCGGCCCAATAAGAATCACTATAAATAGGACCCCAGCGAGGTACGTAACTAACTTTCAACTACCACATTTATTACGCCGAGCACTTACTTGAGCGTTGGAGTGTCTTTGCAGGCACACCCCCCCTCACATCGGACTACCTGGATAGGAACGAGAAGACCGAGACCTAGGATCAGACCCGCTACAACAAGGATAAGTGAAGTGTGTATCCTAACACAGGAACACCTTCCTTCTTTTTTCTTTTCTGTTTTTTTTTTACTAAGAACACCTCCCTTTTCGAAAATTTTAAAAATATAATTTATTTTATGAGAAATTAAAAAATATTTTTAAAAAAGTAGAAAGAATTACTTCTTTTTTTTTTATAAAAAAAAAATTGCTTTTTTTAGAAAAGTACGTAAGAAATATAATTATAATCTTAAGTTATATAGTGACAACTTAAGTGTGTAAAGTTGGTCCTATATAGGTTGAATTATAAACAGAAAATTTGAAAATGAAAATTTATAAATTTTATTTTCATAAAATTAGAAAGATAAGCCAGAGAGACAAGTTTAAGGATCTCACAACCCCGTTTTAGATTCTGATTGTCCATTAGGCCAAATTTTCTTCAAGCTAGAGATTGTAGCCTCTTATAACCGAAGGAAGATCATTGAAGCTTGGAGAGTAAGGTTTTGGTGATTTTCGGGAAGCTTTCTTTCTACCTTAATTTCTTCTTCTTGGAAGCAAATTGGAGGTAAGGGAGTTTGATTGTTGTTCATATATTGTATGAATGTTGTTGATGTTGATTTGAGCTAGATTGATGACTCATTGTTGAAGGATTTAATGTTTTCCACATGATGAGGATTTTGAGTCAAGGATGATTTTCTACTTAAAATTTGCTTAGATGTCATTAATAATGATGTATTTGATGAATTGGGGTTATATGTGGTGTTTTTGATGATTTAGGTAATTTGTTTGAGGCTTGGATTGTCTTGCATGTTAAAAGTGTAGAGGCTTGTCACTTAGCAAGTCTACAAAGATTGTTGAAAAACATCTTTTAGTTGACGCAACACGTATAAGGATTGTTAACGTTATTCTACAAGCAATAGATGCATTTACAAAAGAATCAATTCTTTTTAAATAATTAAGTGTGTTAATTGCTGTATTATTTTCTACTTGT